CCATGGTTCATCCCGTAACGTACCCGTGGTTCATCCCCTGACAATACTCAGGTTCATCCTGTGAAGTACCCATGGTTCATCCCCTGACATACTCGTGGTTCATCCCCTGACGTACCCGTGGTTCATCCTCTGATGTACAAATGGTTCATCCCCAGAATTATTACTGATCATAATAAAAGAATATTAGAACGTATAGAAGCTGTCTAATGTTTATAAACTGTCACAGGGCTGCGTGTGCCACGTTTGTACCAACCAAAGAGAAACAGGAAAACGTGCCTCGTTTCTCGAGTCATCAGATTTGATCTTATTTACCTCAACGTGATCCGACCAGAACTGAAGCTGATAATGGAACGTTTAAATTAAAATTAGGCTCTAAAGTCGATGTGATCGCTGGTAATTGATGAACTGACTCGAAGGTATTGGTGCCAGCCGGTCTGCAGTGAACACTTTCTAACAGGTAAATAATAATAAATCAACATTCCAACACAGTTGTGCAAAAAGCTTTATATACTGTGTTATTAACTAACTTCAGATCTAGTTTAACATATTTTACATATCACCCAGCTGTTTTACATGACCTGAATAAATTAACATTAATTATCAATTCTATTGATAAAGATAGTGAGTAACTGGCGCCACAGATCCGGTTGGTCTCTTTAGCCACCATCTTTGCTCCTCCACGACGTCACAGATGGAGGCAGTGGACGGGACAGGAAGTGGACATCTTGTTGTCTTATTTAACTCCATGCTCTGGCCTCACGTGCACACCATCTGGTCCGTGCACAAACGTAACCCAATCTGGACCAGAAATAGTTCTTAGACTAACTTCTCTCCATAGAGCCACAGTCATAATCCTAGAGGTCCAAATGTCCGGTTCAGAAACAGAAGGTTCTTTGATGGAGTCTAAAAACAGCAAGCTAGATAAGACCAGAACCAGAACCTGCTGATTGGACCGTTCAGACCAGATAACTGTTCAGGGGCCCCACCAGTTCCAAAGTCACTGAGAACAAACACAGCTGGAACAGAAACTCCAGCTGAAGGCAGGCAGGGAGGTTTGGGTCGGTTCTGACCGCACAGCTGGCGCTGCTCCTCCCCCCGGCTCAGAGTTCAGGTTGTGTTGTAATCAGACCTGACTTGTTTTTTTGTAAGAGTCCTGCTGAGCTGCTTGGGTTCTGGGCAGGAACATGAGTGGAGAGGAGGGGTGAGTCAGTACAGTCCTGGTTCTGTTTGGTTCGGTTCTGAATCCAGTCCACATAAAGATTTTTAACCTGAAACCTGGAGAAATGTTTAGTTTTTGTCTCGACAGCAGTTCAGAGTTCTGACAGAAAACATGAAGCTCACTCATCCGGTTCGATCCGGTCGACTCTGAGCCATGCACCTGGTCAGTGGTTCGGTTCCGTCACACTGAATAATATCCGTTATGAACAAAAGTTGGGTGATCAGCTGGTAGAGCTGTTGCATCACAGCGAGAAGGTCATAGGATCAAATCCCGGCCAGAACCTTTCTGGATGGAGTTCACATGTTCTCTCCGTGTGTATCCTCCCACAGACCAGAAACCTCCATGTGAGGTTCACTGGCAACTCGTTTGTCTCTGTGTCCCTGTGATGGACTGAAGACCTGTCCATGTGTCCCTGTGATGGACTGGAGACCTGTCCAGGGTGTCCCTGTGATGGACTGGAGACCTGTCCATGTGTCCCTGTGATGGACTGGAGACCTGTCCATGTGTCCCTGTGATGGACTGGAGACCTGTCCCTGTGTCCCTGTGATGGACTGGAGACCTGTCCATGTGTCCCTGTGATGGACTGGAGACCTGTCCAGGGTGTCCCTGTGATGGACTGGAGACCTGTCCAGGGTGTCCCTGTGATGGACTGGAGACCTGTTCAGGTGTCCCTGTGATGGACTGGAGACCTGTCCAGGGTGTCTTCTATCTTTCCCACAGTATCTCCTGGACATGGGCACCAGTGACCCTCACGACCCAGAAAGGAAGAAGTGGGTAGAGGTAATGGATGGATGTTCTGATCCAGCCAGTCTGACTTTGCGACTGTTGAACCCATCTAGTGTTCTAGCCCGGTTCAGTCCAAATCTGCAGCAGCTGGATCAAGGCCAGATTAAACCAGGTCCAGTTACTGAAAAACAGATTCGGGTAATTAATGCAAGAACAGCTGAAGACGTTCTGTTTTATCAATAAACAACCAGCAGAACTTTCCTGTTGGACCAGGACTCTGCAGGTCTCAGTGGGCCCAACTCATGATAAAGCTACATTTATGTGTTTATTTATTTGTTTATTTATTTATTTACTGGTCACATAAACAATAAATCCGCGATGAGGAGTAAAGTTCATGTGAAGCCCTGAGGTCTTAAATCTATATTTATATGTCGCTGAGGCTCGTTCTCTTACTTCTTATAAATCAGCCTGAAGACGTTCTCCGCAGGTTGAAAGCCACAGGCTCGTGTCTTGCTGACGCAGGTGTATATTGTCCAACTCTTACCACCTGTTGACACCTGTCTGACAGGGTGTGCAGCGAGCATTTGTGATTTGTCAGAACTTTGTGTGCCTGTTTATGTAAAGTGGCTGCAGTCAGCTGATTTCAGGGAAAAACTTCTGCTAAGGATGTGCTGTCTGAGGCTGTGAGAAAAATACAGCCATGAAAAAGAACGTCAAATACTACTTAAAAAGATGGTAAAAGAACTCATGGAAGGAAACTGGAGTGTTTTGTTCACATGGGAGATGGCACATGGGAGACAGCACGGAGAACCAGCGGCTCTCTGTGGTGGTGAGCGCCAGGAGAGAGTGCTCCTCTGTCCTGGTCCTCACCATCAACTAAAAATAAACATCCACTCTGAAAAGCACTCTGTTCGGAGGGATGACTCATCAAGAGTTCACCCCTTGGTTCTCTTTAGAATATAAATGGTCCATGAGAAAACAACTGTCTGCATTCATTTGAGCAAGACTAGACATCTTACATCTTGTTGAAGTATAACCAGGCCTTAAGACGTTCAGTACTCTCTGCAGGTTCAGATGTTCTCTCTGCAGGTTTAAAACGTTCTCTCTTCAGGTTTAAGACATTCTCTCTCAAGATTTAAGACATTATGTTCTTTCTGCAGGTGTAAGACGTTCTCTCTTCAGGTTTAAGAAATTCTCTTCTCTCTGCCAGTTTAAGATGTTCTGTCTGCATGTTTAAGATATTCTCGCTTCAGGTTTAGGTCGTTTTCTCTGTGGGTTTAAGATGTTCTCTCTTCAGGTTTAAGTTGTTCTCTCTGTGGCTTTAAGATGTTCTCTCTTCATGTTTAAGACATTCTGTTCTTTCTGTAGGTGTAAGACATTCTCTCTTTTGGTTTAAGACATTCTCTCTTCAGGTTTAAGATGTTCTCCTGTGCAGGTTTAAGACGTTCTCTCTGCAAGTTTAAGATGTTCTCTCCATGTTTAAGACTTTCTCTCTTAGGGTTTAAGACATTCTCTTCTCTCTGCAGGTTTATGACATTTTGTTCTCCCTGCAGGTTTAAGACGTTCTTCTGTGCAGCAGTGGAGGTGAACAACGAACCCATCCTGAGTTTTACAGAGGGAAGTCCAGAGCGAGCGGAGCTCCAGAAGGTTTGTAGTTTCTATCATTCCATCTCTTTCATCGTTCAGTCAACTGTGTTTAACCTGATGTGGTTCTGCAGGTTCTGGAGAGTCTGAAGGGACAGACTGAGCAAATCCCGTGTGTGGTGGGAGATGAACACGTGTGGACCAAAGACATCAGATATCAGCTGTCTGTGAGGAAACGACTGTGATCAAACTTTACCCTGGGTGAGGTTCTGTTTTGATGGTTCTTTCTTTCTGTTCCCAGCCCTTCAATCATTCTCACAAGGTGGCAAAGTTCTGCTATGCTGACAAGGTAAGGTTCTAAATCTCTGTCGGGACTTCATCTGGTTCATAGGGTTCTAACTGGACTTGTTTGTTGGAGGAGGACTCTTCAGAACCATTGATTCAGATCATTCAGTGCTTTTAGACCTTAAAATCCTTAGATCTTTATGGTTCTGTTTGGTTGAACCCACTTCAGGACCTCATCAATAAGGCCATCCAGGCTTCAGTGGCAGCCAGGAAAGAGTGGGACCTGAAGCCCGTCCAGGACCGGGCCCAGGTCTTCTTCAAGGCTGCTGATGTCATCAGTGGACCCAAACGAGCAGAGATCTTGGCCAAGACCATGATTGGACAGGTAGGCGTCTCTCCTGAGAATCCACGTTTTCCACCTACATACCTCCGTTCTTACAGGTTCTCCTATCTTCTGATGAGTTCTCATCTGCCTGTCTGTCTGGTGTTCAGGGTAAAACGGTGGTTCAGGCAGAGATTGACGCCGCCGCAGAGCTCATCGACTTCTGGAGATTTAATGCCAAACACGCCCTGGAGCTGGAGACACAGCAACCGATCAGCACGAAGGAAAGCACCAACACCTCGCTGTACCGAGGGTTGGAGGTAGGAACACCTCACCTGAGCCGCGGTCTGGACCATCTCTGAGCTCAGAACCTAACGGAAACAGAAAGAGGACTGCGACTGTTGAAACAGAACTGGTTCAGAGCCTCGGAGGCTCACAGTCCAGTCGTCTGAACTTCAAAAATCCAAATAATTCACGTGAAGTCTCCTGAAAGTAGTCCTGGAGTCTCTACGGGCGTCTCGGTTTAGTTCCTGTAACTTTAGGTTGGAGCTGAGCTCTGATTCCTGTCTGACAGGAAACTTCAGATGTTCCAGTCTAAAGTCGGCGCAGTTTATAAATGATTGAAGTGAGTTCCAGCAGATTAAACGTCACGCTTCTTCTCTGTACGAGTTCAACAACCGTCCTTCTCAGGAGAGGTGTTACAGATGGATCAGAGTCGTGTTTCTGTAGAATACCTGCAGCTCTCTGAACAAAACCTCCATCCCATTCCTGACCCGTGTTCCTGCTGTGTTTCAGGGCTTCGTAGCGGCCGTGTCTCCGTTTAACTTCACTGCCATCGGGGGGAACCTGGCAGGAACTCCGGCTCTCATGGTGAGTGTTAGGGCTGGTCCAACAGGACAGAATCAGCATGTAGAACCATCCAGATCCAAAGAAGGGTCTGTCAGGTTCTGACTTTCCACATTCCCTACAAGAAACATAAAAAGTGACGACCCATTTGATTGCTGAGCGTCAGGACGTACCTGGACCTGCTGATTGGAGAGTTCTGGGTCCATTAAGGTTTGTGTTTGTTGTCAGGGTAACGTGGTTCTGTGGAAGCCCAGCGACACGGCCCTTTCTGCCAGCTACGTGGTCTACAGAGTTCTCCGTGAATGCGGTCTGCCTCCCAACATCATCCAGTTCCTGCCGGCCGACGGTCCCGTGTTCGGGGACGCCGTCACCTCCTCTCCACACCTGGCGGGCATCAACTTCACCGGCAGTGTGCCGTAAGGACGTCCCCTTCCGTTTCTGCAGGTTACAACACGACTGTTGCTATGACAACGGCCTTTTTTCTCTGCAGGACGTTCAAGCGTCTGTGGAAGCAGGTGGCCCAGAACCTGGACGTCTACAGGACGTTCCCTCGGTTGGCCGGAGGTGAGCTCCATTAGGTCCCTCAGGTACTGGTTGTCCTGCAGGTTCCGTGACCCGATGGACGTTTGTGTCCACAGAGTGCGGAGGGAAGAACTTTCACTTCGTGCACACGTCGGCAGACATCCGGAGCGTGGTGATGGGGACGATCCGCTCCGCCTTTGAGTACGGAGGACAGAAGTGCTCGGCGTGCTCCAGGATGTACGTCCCCGACTCCACCTGGCCTCAGATCAGACAGCAGCTGCTGGACGTCCTCAGAGACATCAGAGTGGGAGACGTGAGTGGACGAGGACAGGAAAACCCACCCTGATGGAGGGGGAGGGGTGGGGCTATGAAGGTGTTTCCTCTACTCTTTGTTCATGGAAGAATAATAGAATAATTTCAGTGAGGAGAAGGTGATCGACAGGTAAACAAATAAATCAGGGCTATTCAACCAAACTGCTCAGGGGCCACGGTTACTGACGGCCAACAGCTCGGGGGCCGGACTTTGGGGGGGGGGGGGCATCCAGTGATTAAAGTCATTATGTAAATAAACCAAAGCTTACAAAGATTTTTTACCTTTTAAATTTGTTTATTTTTATTGTATGGAATCATAAATGCACTAAACAGAACCCCCACCCCCAAAAAAAAATTATATATATAATTTTAATTTTTTTATGAAGTGGGCTGGATTGAAGTCATGGCCCGCGGATGAGGGGTAAACAACATGTAAATAAAGAGTAAACGACATGTAAATAAAGAGTAAATGACATGTAAGTAAAGAGTAAAAAACGTAAATAAAAGGTAAACAGGTAAATAGAGTAAATTACATGTAAATAAAGGTTAAACAACATGTAAATAAAGAGTAAACGACATGTAAATAAAGAGTAAACAACAAGTAAATAAAGAGTAAACAACAGGTAAATAAAGAGTACAAACTGTTAGACCTTAATCTTTGAGATGAGCTTGTTAGGTGATGCTGCTCCAGGTGCGTCTGACTGAGGTTTACCTGCGATGATGATGATGATGTTTTTTCCTCAGCCCGTGGAGGACTTCAGCACCTTCTTCTCTGCCGTCATAGATGATAAGGTACACCGAGTTTCCTCAGACGATGTTCTGCTCAAGGTTTTCATCTTAACAAAGGTTTTCCTCCTCCTCCCTCATCCAGTCCTTCGCTCGGATCAAGAGGTGGTTGGACCACGCCAAGTCCTCCCCGAACCTCGCCGTCATCGCCGGAGGACACTGCGACGATCAGAAAGGTTACTTTGTGGAGCCGACCATCATCGAGACCAAAGACCCGCAGGACCCCATCATGAACGAGGCAAGTCCTAACTCAGGTTCTGCTCCAGGATCTGTTCTTTTAGCTCCAGGACAGTTCAAATACTCACTCGTGTGTGTGTGTGTGTGTGTGTGTGTGTGTGTGTGTGTGTGTGTGGCGGGGGGGGAGGGTGTTTCCAGGAGATCTTTGGGCCAGTTCTGGCTGTTTACGTTTATCCTGAGAAGAGCTATCAGGAGGTTCTGCAGCTGATTGACAGAACGTCCCCGTATGCGCTGACAGGAGCCGTGTACGCCCACGACACGTAAGATGCCAAGAACGGTTCAGTCAGTTCTGTCTGACCCGGGCCAAGGTCCTGTTTGATCCGGACAGAGGTTCTGTTTGTGTTGACTGACAGGAAGGTGATTGACGAAGCCTCCAGGGTTCTGAGGAACGCGGCAGGGAACTACTACGTGAACGATAAATCCACCGGTTCCATCGTGGCCCAGCAGCCGTTCGGAGGCGCCAGAGCTTCAGGTCCGGACCGACCCAAAACTTCCTCCACACTCAGATCTTGTCAGGAAGTGATTGATCGATCGGTTAACTGATTGACAGTTTGTGTTCACCTGCGTCTTCTCTCCAGGCACAAACGACAAACCTGGTGGTCCTCACTACGTCCTCAGGTGGACGTCTCCTCAGGTGGTGAAGCAGACTCAGGCCCCCCTCACAGACTGGAAGTACCCCTACATGTGCTGAGACCACAAGAACTGGACCTCCACTGGACCTCCTGTCCATCACTCTGTCCTGCTTCCTCCTAACCTTCGTCCATCAGACGAGCCTATGAGACGTTTGGAATGTCGCCGTCTCTTCTTCTGTCTGTCCATCACTCTGTACATCTTCCCTCTGTCCTCCATATTTTGTCTCCGTCCATCAACGGGGGCTGGACTTCAGAAGATAGAAACAATCTTGTCTCTGTCTGTCCATCTCGCCACTGAACTGGACCCGAGTGTCCATCAGACAAAGCAGGAAGATGTCCTCCGTCCTCAGCTCCATGGTGACCGTCCATCGCCTCCTGACAGGAAGTGACAGTCCACCACTTCCTGTCAGATTAAAGCTAAAACATGGAATCAGTAGGTCAACAGTTGTCGACAGAAAAAGATTAGAAACAGTAACTGATGGTTTAAACAAGATCAGAGGAACAGGTGGATGGAGGATGTTCTCTGGTTCTTGTTCTCTGTGTTCTCCTTGTTCTCACCTCAGCTACACTGTAAATTCAGTTTTCAACAATAAAGATGAATTTATTACAATCAGAGGGATGTTTTTTTGTGACTTACAGCAGAACCTCTGTTCTCTGCTCGGATTGTTCTGATGTTCCCCTCTGTGGATCTGATGAGGTTCTCACTTGACCAAAGGACTTCATCAGCAACAAAGTCTGGTGGTTCCACCTGTCAGAACATGATCCAGTTCTACATGTCCTGCAGCTTCAGTTTGTTTTCCTCACACCGACAGAACGTTCGTGGATGTTTCACGTCTTTCTGCTTCAGCTGAAAACCAAACTGAAGAGAACGTCACGCTGTTGATCTGACGGCTGGACTCGTTTTAGGTTCTCCATGAACTCCTGAAGGTGTTTTGGTCCTGACATTAACGAGCAGCTAATGCCTCGTTAGTTATCTCAATCCAAAGCTGCGTTGATTAGTAAACCGGTGACGTCTCCTCGGAGTGTCAGACCGAGGTGGACCAGAGAGTCTGGACCACCTAACAAGCGCCAGTTCTCATTTCAGGAAAAAAAGAACAATGTTATTAACTTGTTTTTATATATGAATGTTTCTGTTCAGTGCTCTGAGACGACTTCTGTTGACTTGGAGCTTTATGAGTAAACTGAACTGAAAGTTTAGTCCCGGTTGTTGGAGGCAGAGACCAACTGGATTCAGGAGGAGTAGGGTGGCTTTGTTCCAGTCCCTGGAACAGTGGACCAGACCTTTGTGGAGTTGCAGAGGGGTCCTGGGTTTTGAGGACCTGGAGTAGACTAACTGGGGGTAGCTGGGTCACTTTAAGGCCATAAGGTCCTTGTAGAACCAAAACCAGAGCTGTGTCCACATCCTCGACTCAGACCTAAGCTCATTCTTGGTGCAGGTTGGACTACTGGACCTGGTTCTTGATCCTTCTTGCTGTTAGTGGACAGGACTTCAGGGGAGCGGGTCAGCTTTGTGAACCTCGTCTCTGCTTTATGCAGGTAATGTTTCAGGTCTCTCTTGTAAATGAGTCCCCGAGGCTCGATGGGACTAACCTGTATAAATAAAGGTTGAATGAATGTGGTTCTGACGGCATCCCCAGTCCGTGAACTTGGACATTCCACAGCTGGGATGAGACTAAGCTTCTCTTAGTCCAGAACCATGGTCCCCAAACCTCCCGGTTGGGGTCTGTCTCTGCCTCAGGGATCTGGAAGTCCTGGTTCTAAGTGATGGAGGAGATGGACCAACAGTCTCATCTGCAGTAAGGATGTTGCTCCAGTCTGTCAAGGTGAAGGAGCTGTAACTCTGGATTTAAAGCTCCTGGTCCAACACTCACCTGTGGTCCTGGGGTTTGGATCAGGACTGAAATCAGTCTTAGATCAGTCTTAGAGGAGCTCTGTTATCTGGGGACCTTCTCATCAGATGGAGTCAGCTGAGGAGGTCCAGCCTTCGGCTCAGGGTGCCTGTGGGCCCAGTTCTGATCCAGAACTCTCTGCGGGGATCATATATTCACTTGGGTCGAGGAAGACTTGGAACCATCCAGGAGATGCTGGAGCCAGTCACTGGAGAACAGGTCTGGGTTTCTCTCCGGGACCTGTTGGGAGGATGTAATGAAAGAAACAGAACCGGAACTTTGGTTCTGAGACGGTCCAAACCCACAAAACACCAAACGTTAAGTTTCTGTTCAAACTTTTTAAACCTTTCAATAAAATCTGGTCTGAGAGCCGCTGAACGCCAGAACCCTGAACCCGTCTGAAGATCCACTTCACAGGCGGGTCTCCGGTTACACAGGTGTGTGTGTGTGTGTGTGTGTGTGTGTGTGTGTGTGTGTGTGTGTGTGTGTGTGTGTGTGTGT